TAACGCAGCGTAGCGGCGCCAGCGGTGCGCTAACACTACACCAAAATTTGGCTAGTGTTAGCGCCGCTACAAGTTAGCGTAGCGCAGCGGCAGTAGCGGCGCGCTAACACCACACAAAAAAAAATGGCGCCGCTACGCTAACGCTACATGGGCCTGTAGCGTAGTGTAGCGTAGCGGCCCACCACTGCCGGAAGCGATTACGGTTGAAGCCTTGAACAAAGTTGATTTCTCAGGGTTCCCACAACATGAAATGGAATTGAAGATAGGAGCACTTATTGTTTTGCTCCAAAATTTGAGCATTGACCAAGGGTTGTGCAACGGGACACGTCTGGTAATTGAAGGATTAATTTCAAAAGCAATTAGTGGCCGAATCTTAAGTGGGCCTTTCAAGAATTCAACAGTCCTAATACCCAAGATTACTTTGTACCATGAAGGGAACTCAATAGTACACATGCCATTCTACAGATATCAGTTCCCAGTGGTGTTGGCATTCACCATGACAATAAATAAATGCCAGGGCCAAAGTATGAACTGTGTGTCTTTAGTTTTAAATGGACAAGTGTTTGCCCATGGGCAATTATACGTGGGTTTATTGAGGGTGAAAAATGTTCTAGAACTGTGTGTAACTCAAGTAGTAACAAACACCACGGTGCTCAATGTAGTAGTGAAAGATATTTTTGCTGGCCTTGTGACTCATGTTCCGCCAACTTCTAATTCATGTACATAAAGAGTTATTTTATTCTTGTCTTAGTTTTATAAAAAATTATTTTTCAATACAGGCCATCCAGGCGGCAAAGCCGCCTCTAGACACTAGTGTATCACTACATGTCAAACCATGAGCACTACCACCCAACAACCCTGGCAGTCACAAGCGTCTGTAGCCTAGTTGCACAGCCCGCAAACAGGTGACGTAATCAAAAAATTTTTGCGGTGACGTTTTGAATATGCATATTCAAAACTTGCGTGCCGGGCCAGTAGTCACCTGACTGAAATTTCATCACCAAAACTCGCACACCGGTGTGGAACTACTCTTTGGTGGGAATAGAGCTTAGAGAGGGATGAGAGCTTGAAGGGCTGCCTCTCTGGTTACTGGGAGAGTAAGAAGAACAAGAAATAAGAGTATGGACTCTTAAAGAAAGGTGTGGCTAAATTGTCAGCCTGCTACTATTCAGAGACAACCTGACCATAGCATAATAAATATTTAGAGACATTATTACATATACTACCCCCATAGCATATGTAATTAATGTCTATTTCATATGTACATAATGTAGACATTATTACATATGTACATATAAAAACATTAATATTTAAATAAGTGGAATCACTATAATAGAGACATTATTACTCATTACATTAAGTTTTACTAGTCATGAAAGAAAACATAAAAATAAAACCAAAAACATTTATAAATAAACATTTTTAACATGAATCTACAAATAACTTCTAAAACTTAAGCAAAAGTTAGAACATTATTTCAGATTCTTAATTCTCATGCAAAATAACCTAGGGTACCCCACCAGAAGTACCCCTGAATTATTACTCCTTCAGGTACTTCTGTGTACTCTGAGTGACACTTGCTCATTTTGCTAAAAACCCTCCCAGTTACATCATACTACATGTTGTGACAGGTCTACATATGTAATTAAGGTTCATGCAGTTCGGGAAAAATCTACAAATAAGGTTGACATCATTGAAACCTTAACTACAGTGTCACAACAACTGTAACTGGCTGGTCAAAAGCCATTTGTGGCCCTTTTTGGCCCAATTTGGCTAACTACGCCTGGTTAAGACCAGCCCACTGGTCATTAAAGGGTCCCAGTGCCCAAACCATGGCTGCAGGTTTGTCACAGCACTCCTTAGTGTGTGTTACAAGCCTCACTTCAGCCCTCTGCCACCTGTAACCAAGGACTACAGGTGTCTAGGCAGTGCTACAGGTCACCAATGCCTAGTAGGAGGCTTGCACCAGCCAAACAGAATTCTGAGTTCGCCTCCAAGGGCCCAGAATGAGTATATAAGGAGCCCTTCTTGACCACGAACTCAAATTCATCATCTTCATCATCACTTACCAGCAATAACCACCTCCAACAACCAGTTTATCACCTGTTTTGGCCCAGTTCCTGCTGTTTTTCATCCTGAATTTCAACCAACCAACCATCAACTGTTCCCCAGCAATCTCTCACCACCTGTTACCCAGTTTTCTGAGTGCTGCCAGACCAGTTTTCACCCACCTGAAGTCCCCCTTGGCTTGGAAATAGTACAAGTAGGTAATATTTCCTTGATACTTCAGTTGTAGGCATCTGTCTGGGCATACTCCTTTTGCACAAAGGACCAGACCATCAGGTACATCAAAAATACCCCTGTTTTATCAGGTCCTGATTCATTGGAGGGCACCATAAACACACCTGTAACTCAGGCCCCTCCCTTTATAAAAACTTAACAGTGGAGGACTTCCCGTGGGTTTTACAGGCCTTGTAAAGCTAGATTTACAGGCTGTAAAGCTAATTTTTCGCTGGGAAAACGGTTTCACGAGCTTGGAAAAATAGCTTTACAGGGGGCTGTAAAATTGACGGGAAGACCTCCAGTTTTTATTATTTCTTTTCTTAATATCAAAACCTCCCCATTCCAAGTGTTACCCACACTTGCACACCTTTTTTCTTAGCTTTGCACCTGGTGTAGCTAGAAGAGTCAAGCTCTTGGCATCACCCAGGCTGACATAAATGAAGATGTAAGATTTGTAAAAGGGTAAGGTATGAAGATAATAATTCTGTGTAAAATGTCTCAAGTCTGTAATGCTAAAATATATTTCAAGTAAGTAATGCTAAATAAATTACCAGGGAGCAATAATGACAACTCTGATAGGGGACAAATGGCAAGGGCCAAGAGAGCACTACATATAAGTCTTCTGGGGGGAATAAGAAAACAAGGGACAAGGCATCATCACAGGGTACATGTAACAAGGCAACAACATGGCTTGGGAGACAGGCTTGGGAATGGCATGTGTGACAAGGGTGAAACAAGGCTGAAGCAACAGGGATAGAAACATGACATAAGTGGCTACTGTAGTAAATTGCCATGGTATGTAAAGAAGGGAAACAAAGATGCTGAAGGATAAGGGTCTTTCCTAATAGTCTGGCCCTCTTGGATGGTGGACTTTCTCCCACTTTATACCTAATTTGTATTTATTTTATTACCAAGTGTGGCTGGTGATCCATGTAGAGTGTCACTGATGAGTTGTTGGCCTTTGTGGTTCTGATGGTAGTGTCTATGAGGTGATTGGAGATGGCCATGAGTGGATTACATATGTAGGATGTTGATTTGATGGTTGTTATCATATGTAGAGGGTGTGAAAATGGTTCAGAAAGGTGGTAGAAAGGTGTAACAGGTTTCGATTGGTCTTACCACACCGGGCCAGCTGGCAGTAGTCACCTGACTAGAATTTCTTCACCTGACTACATATTGAAAGTTGTCACCCCCGCCATCAATCAACCAACCTGATCCCCCAGTACTCCTCCATTGCCAACCCATTCACAGTTTTCCCACATTTTGATCATTTCAACACCTCTGACTCATCATCAACTCAAGTCTAACCATCTTCTCAGTCCACTCAACCCCAACAATGAAACCTCAAATATGTACCTGCCACAAATGCATCCAAAAAACCACAACATCACCCAAAGGTAAACAAATTCCTGGATTTTGGGTCCACCCAACAACCCAACAGAGGCATTGGTCCCAACAATCTTTGCCCTTGAGTAATCTTAGTCAGTTGAAGTTAGCACTTCCATCCCCTTCCGCTCCTCCTGAAGACCCAACCCCAAGTGATACAGAATCTGAGTCTACTGAAACAAGAAAAGAGCCTGAATGCATAAGTGTTGTCCTTGCATCTCAAAATTCTTGCACCTAAACTGACAATATATTGCCCACAATTACACAGGATACATATACTACTTTATTGCGTGGCTCAGCTTGGTATGTGGTGTTAGTGATTGCAACTGTCGAATTGCTCAAGATTGAATCATCTTCATCATCATGATATTCCGTAAATTACCTCAAGACCGCCAAGCATATCTACACAGTTACAAGGATATACAAACCATCACCCATCGGCTTGGCCTAGATCCTGAAATTGAAAGTTGTAACTGCTTCCCTAAGTGTTTCAAACTCTAAAAACCTGAAGAGACACCCACCACTTGTACTTATAGAAAATCAAAGAAAGCTCAAGTATGTGGTGAAGCGCTTTTCAAATCAAACTCCGACAGACTCTTACCTAGATACCAGCCAGTCTTGCATGCTGTATTACCTCGCAAGTATCAAGCTCCATTCAGACCTTTCCTTCCCCGATTAAAGTATCACACTCAGACTTTTGATTCTTGGTTGAAGTGGTTTCTGAATGTTCCTGGTATTGAACACGAGATCCTTACTTGGAAACAGAAAGTTCAAGCAACCACTGACAAAAGTCGAATAGTCAATATTCAACAGTCAAAGGCGTGGGGAACTTTCCAAACTAAGGCTGACCAAAAGCTTTCTGGTAACAAACTTTGTCTCACGTTCTCATTGTATGTTGACTGGTTCAATACATTTGGCAATAAGCTTGCTTGAAGACAAGCTTCGATGGGTCTTATAGCCCTTACTTGCCTTGACCTCTCCCCTCATAGTCAAAACAAGCACAACAACACGTTCATTGCTGGTATCATTCCTGCCTACCAAGAGCCCAAAATGACTACAATTTCTCATATTCTAGCTCCCCTAGTCAACAAGTTACTTCTACTTAACACCGGCACCTTTGTGCAAACTCCCCAGTTTCCTAACAGACGACGGCTATTGGTTCATCTTGGTGTGCTGATTGGGGACATATTTGCTTCACACAAGATTTCTGGCTTTGCTTCTCACACGGCCAATTTCTTTTGCTCATGGTGCAAGTGTCAAAAAAAAAATCTCATGGACATGCAGGTTGGTTGAGCTCGAAATAGGTGAGAAAGACGATTGCAAGCCCTCAGATGGAGAGACACCGACACACTTACCAAGCAAAAGCGTCTGTTAAAACTATATGGAAAACGTTGGTCCAAACTAAACCGCCTGCCATACTGGGACCCCGTCAAGAATGTTTTGCTAGGTGTCATGCACAACTAGTACGAAGGCGTTTTACAGCATCATTGGCGTGTACGTTGGGCTTTTGAACCAGACCCCCCCAAGAACGCTACCCACGACGACCAGCTTGACGATTGGGAGGATACCAACTCAGACACCACAGAAGCAAGCCTCAATTTCCAGGACACCACACTTTTACACATACAAAAAGCTGTACCCAACACCAATTTCGTATCACTTGTTATGTGCACCAACATCATATCTAGGAAGTCAACAAGTCATGCCGATTTGGAAAAGTTTTTGCAGGCTTATTCTCTCTACACCGAGTCATCCAAGCTGGTCTTTGATTCGCCAAAGATTGTCCCCAACCATCACTATGCCCTCCACACCCCTGATCAAATGAAGTGGTGGGGGCCTCTCTCAAATGTATCTGAATTCTCAGGCAAAAAATTCAATGGATTACTCCAAAAAATGAAGACCAATGCTATCATTGGTGAGTAGATATAGTTTCAAATCTATTCTGCCAAAAAAAACTAATGTTTGGATTATCAGGCCAAATTGAAGGTACAGTTCTATGTGAATTTTGTCAAATGCAAAGGCTCAATGCTCAAGCTTCCAGCTGGTCACTCCAACCCGACAACAAATTGGAACCAAAACCTAAAAGGATGGTGGAGGTGCACCCCGATCTATACTCAGCTCTGCTTCAAAAACTACAGAGCAAAGATGCAGCATTGTGACACTATCAAGACATACCTCATCCCGATGGCGCTTGTGTTGTGACACCATATGCGGTTGAGGAAGATGCATTTGAAACTGAAAGCGGGCTTTACATCAGCAAGACAAAACAAAACCGTTTGGTAGTGTACCACAAGGATAGTCAAACTCAATATGTGTGGATCACTCATGTCTACCGGTTGCCCGACTTTAATGATAGGGTTCTGGTAGCAGTCAAGGTTCTTACAAATGCCTGTGTTGGTGACGTAATTGATGTCGGTGAGAGTTTTTTACAGACACTCAACAACTTGGAGCTGAAGGTTGTACAAGAAGAGACTGGCTACAAACTTTTGGATCCATCTGACTTGAAGGCAGTGTGTGCTTATAGGCACCTTCCAGCTTGGACTTTTAAGTGCCATCTTCCCTTGATTGTTTTAAGACCAATTCCACACGATCTTTCCCCCCTGTTGTATCCATCCCCTAAAGAATAGATTTCTCAATCTTCCTCCCTGGAATCATTCTCAATATCATTGATCTTCTGTATAGTTTCCAACTGATTTCAATTATCATCTGCCTCTCATTTTACTTTTCATAAAATAAGATCTACGTTCTTTTTCATATCCCATAAGGTGTCTTGAAAAGAAATAAATCCGAGAAATCTTATAAATAGACATGCAAGAGTATAGCTATAACCTACACATTGAGATTCAAAGGGGTTCGAGTCAACGGGATGCCTAACCCCTTTCAAAGCCGAGCACACCGCGGTAGACTTGGTAGCCACTTCGGATACTTTTGCTGTTCGACAATGCTCCTCGTTATCCACTTTGATAATTCCCCCCGGATATTGATGTCCGCGACATTTGCGTCCATCAGCTGTTTGGACTTCCGAGTCCAAGCCGACGATGGCAAATGGAATTTTCCGCTGCAAGCGTACCCATGCCGAACAAGTCAGTATCCAAGCAAGAGGAGATCACAACGTGCAATCGATGATCAGATGAGAAATGAGTGGATCAACTGACCATGATCTCCTCTTTTTAAGCAATGGTTTCTTTGTCCTCTTTCTTGTACCGGTGGGCTTCGTAGATTCTAATATTATGGAATGTGATATCCGCCAAGATATGCAGAGAAAGGAAACGAGGGAACTATTAGATTTCAAGGACCCTGTTTTGTCAGAAGGTCAAAGAAAGCTGATTGATCGACTGACCTGTTGCTTGAAAGCGGTGATTTCATCGTCCGTCATCGTGTCTGCTATGGCGATCACCAGGATAAGGTTCACTTTGGTGTGAAGACACTTCATGAATTCTATTTCAACTAGCTTGAGTCTGGAATCAAGTTGGGAGAGAGACAGTGAAGTGAAGCAGGGCACAATCAGCTGAGGTAGAAAAGATGACCGGAAAAGTGGACATGACTCAAAAACAAATGACCAGTGAGGTCAATGAAGTAGATACAGGCATGGATTTGATTGTCAACTATGTTCACACAGTTGACACGATTTTCTTGTTTGAGCTAGCCATCAAATCAAGCCTCAATATTCTCCAGGATAGGTCTCCATGACTCAGCGTTGTTGATGAAATCGCCATAGCCAGGAGTGCCGGCTACTTTAAGTCTCAGATGAACACCAGCTTCCTTGATATCTAGATCAAACCATCATCAGCCCATCTACTCTAAGCGGATGGAGGGATATTAATCATGGCAATGAGGAGCATACCCGTAGAGGTACTTTGGATTGCAATCGTCTGTGGCCGTTCAGCATGAGGTCCCGAATATTCTTTGGGAGGGTAGAGTGTTGTGTTAAAGAGGTTAGAGTTTTGTCCCCTGTATTCTTTGGTCCCAAACCAAAGATGCATGTGGTAGCATCCTCGGTTTGGAACCGTATTTCAAGGTGAGCTGAGTGAGATGGATGAGCTCAACCATTTTTTTTTTAAAAAAAAAATACAAGTACCTTCTTCCTCCAGCAACAAGGCGAAACTTGCTCATCGGACATCTCAGCTCTCATCAACTCCCCTCCCATCTCCCAGCACAGCTCAAATATCAACTGATTCATCTCACAAACTCAACCAGCTCAACCCAACTCCGAACCATCTCAAACAACTCTGACCCATCTCAAACAACTCCGAACCATCTCAAACAACTCCAAACCATCTCAAAAAACTCTGAACCATCTCAAACAACTCTGAACCATCTCAAACAACTCCGAACCATCTCAAACAACTCTGAACCATCTCCAACAACTCCGAACCATCTCAAAAAACTCTGAACCATCTCAAACAACTCTGAACCATCTCAAACAACTCTGAACCATCTCAACCCAACTCCGAATCATCTCTACACAACTCCAAACCATTTCAACCCAACTCCTAAGCATCTCAACTCAACTCAGAAGCATCTCTACACAACTCTGAGCCATCTCAACCCAACTCCGAAGCATCTCTACCCAACTCCGAAGCATCTCTGCCCAACTCCGATCCATCTCTACCCAACTCCGATCCATCTCTACCCAACTCCGATCCATCTCTACACAACTCCAAACCATCTCTACACAACTCCGAACCATCTCAACCCAACTCCAAAGCATCTCTACACAACTCCGAACTATCTCAACCCAACTCTGACTCTGACCCATCTCAAACAACTCCGAACCATCTCAAACAACTCCGAACCATCTCAAACAACTCCAAACCATCTCACATCTCACACAACCCTAACAACAACAACAATGCCCCCAACTCGCTCATCAGGCCGAAACACTCGATCTTCTTCTTCACTAAAATCATCAAATACCAAACAAAATTCAAACTCCAAGAAGAGAAAAGCACCCAGATCTTTGCCAACCAAGAAAAACTCGTCTAGAAAACGATCCGGTGTTAACCAGGAGCAAGATGATGATGAAGAAGAAGAACCGGAAGAGGAAGATGAACCGGAAGAAGAACAACCAGACTCAGAACAAGACCAACCGGACCAGGAAGAAGAGCGAGAAGAAGAAGAAGAGAGTATCAATTTAACATTGGAAAACTTCCAAACTCAATTAGGATCTTGGTCGATTAACAAACTTCGCGAGGTTCTAGGAAAGAGAAAAAAATCCTGTTCCAATCGAGTTCCACCCGAGGTTCAAGACGCCCTGTTGTTGCTCCAACAGAATTACATCAAGAGCAAACTCATGCTTTCTATAATAGGAAATATTACTGAAACAACCACTGCAAAGTATCTGTAAGTTTAATTTTTTGTTTTCCCGTTCTGTTAATCTTGGGAAACTGTACTGATTGGTTTTATCATTTGCAGTGGTGAGAACAAACCCCCTCGTAAGAAGAGCAATTGGAATCGTTTTGTTTCTTTTAGTGTCATAAGTGAACAAACCCCAGGCAAGTCACCTCTTCAAATCAAGTAGAAATCAAATAATCAAACCATTCTGATTGTGTTTGTCACTTCTTCATCAATAGTCCCTCCAAAAGGTGTGTCCATAGGATGGGAGGAAAGAAATAAGATCTTGGGTGAAGCGTGGATGGAGCTTTCCGGCATAGAAAAGGAAGTTTTTAGTCCCCCAATCTTTCAGTTCTTCTCTAAAATTCCATGTTCTTACGACAACGACGATGAGGACGAAGATGAATTAGCTGAAATCACCCTTACTCAAGAGGAGGAGGAACTCTACCGACCCCTTTACGATTGACTGGTAAATCATGAGAAGGTTAAAATGGTTGTCTCCGAGGGACCGATATCCCAAAACAAAACAAGCACAGCACTAAAACAGGCTGAATCCAATCTTCAAAGACTTAATTCAGAAGTGAGTTTAGAGTACATGACAAGAAGTTTTGATAAATGCTGAACTCTGTTCAAAATTGATTAGATCTTTACAGTTTCTGTTGAAATTCTGTAATCCACAGTGTTCTAATATCAGCACATCAGGCATGGACTTGGTAGCCTAGTTGGTAAAGGCAGCACTTCTAGTATAGTGTCTTAGCTTCAAGCTAAGGTCGCTGGTTCAAATCCTGCCCAAGTCAATCATTTTATGCTAACTGTCTGCAAAATGCATTGTTAATTTTATCACGATTAACAGTCGAATTCGAATTCGAACGAACTATACCTCTTAAAATCAATGTCAACTTCGGAACTCCCAAAAAACGATCCCGTCAACCAGAACACCTCTTCACAGAACAAAGAAAGCACAATGGAGAAGATCAACTCCACTATACTCAAAACGGCTCTTGAAGCCATTCCTAAACTCACAGCAGATAATTACACCCTCTGGAAAAATCTTGTCGACAACATGCTTGATATCCAAGGTCTCCGAGAATCTCTCACTTCAGACACCGGCACTCTCACTGAAAGTCAAGACGTTCAACTCAGAACGATCATCACGTCAAAAATCGACTCGTCGATCCATCCAAATGTCATCACCCACGAGAATGCAAAGAAAGCTCGGGAAATATGGAAGTCGATCATCAACTACTTCGCATCAACTCAGCCCGCCAATCGAGCTCGAGTTTTCAATGAATTGTTGGACCTCAGTTTCAACACTTCTGACATTCAGTCCTTCATCACCTCGGTCAGATCCATCAACTCTCGACTTTTTGAGATCGGCATCGACATTCCTCAAGATCTAGTTGCCTATATCATCTTGAAAAAACTCCCCTCGGCTCTAACCAACGTCAGCCAACAGATCACCCATTCCGACAAACCCCTCACCTGCGCCCTCGTCCTTGATCATCTCAAGCTATACAATAACGATCAGTCCGCAACGGCAAATCGAGGCTCAGGCACTCGGAACGATCCAATCGCTCTATACTCCGATGCATCAAAAAAATGCAAGAAGACGGCTCACAACGTCTTATCCAACCATCCAGAAGCAAAATGCTGGATGTTGTACCCTCATCTCAGACCGGCCAATGAAAATCGAGCGAATCGAAATGAATCCATGGTCAGCAGCTTTCACTCATTCCTCTCACATTCCTCATCTCAGTTCATTCTAGACTCAGGATCCTCCGCACATATGGTTTCAAATATTGACTTATTCTTTTCTATCGACTACACAGAAAAAGGACTAGTTCACACCAGCTCTGGAAAGGATTCTCTCTCAATTAAAGGTCGAGGATCAATCAAGCTAATCAATGAACACGGATCTACTATTCTACATCACGTTTTATATGTACCCGATCTAGTTGTCAATCTTCTTTCAGTTCGTTGTCTAGTCTTAGAAAACTATAGTGTGGAATTTGCAAAAAACTCTTTTTCTATATTAAAAAACAATGAAATCAAAATGAGCGGTCGCTATACCTCCAATCTTCCTAGTCTCACGTTTACAAATCTAAGTCACCAGTCCCATTTTTCCTCAGCTGAGAATCTACATAGATCATTGGGTCACGTAAGCTATCATCGACTGAGACACAAGCTAGGAATACCTCTCAAGTCAGAAAAAGTCTGTGAAGCGTGCTCTCTTGCGAAAATCACACGTGCCTCATTTAAATCAAAACACCCGCCAGCTTCAAAACCATTTGAGGAGCTACACTTAGATTTAATCGGACCTATTTCGCCTAGCTCAAGAGAAGGTCATAAATACATCCTAACGGTAGTAGACAGTCATACCAGATTCTGCTCGGCCATCCCCGTGAAAGCCAAGAGTGAAGTAGCGACGGTGTTGTCTGACTCCATTGATCTAGAAGCGAAACGGTTCGGATATTATCCGACCGTGCTGCATTCCGACAGAGGAACAGAATTCATAAACGCTACGTTGAAAGAGTTCTGTAACAAACATCTCATCCGATCTCGTACGTCCGATCCCTATACCCCTCAACAAAACGGACTTGCGGAACGACACAACCGAACAATTCTAGAATCATTGAGGACTATCCTGAAGGATTCCTCTTTTCCTCTTCGTTTCTGGAGCGACATTGTCAAGGTCAGCACTCTGACACTGAATCAAATACCGGTGCATAAAAGCAAGAAATCGCCCTTTGAACAATTCAAAAATCGATCTATTTCCATTGATTTCTTTCGTCCAATAGGCAATCGAGTCTCATATCTGATTTTGTCACCAAAAACCACTTCAAAACTCATGCCTAAGGGAGAACTAGGCACGCTTCTCGGATATGACGACGAGATTCAATCATACAAAATTCTCAGTGATAACGGAAAAATCATCGAGACAAAGAGTGTACGATTCCTCGATGAAATGAAGACCTCTGAAGACTGCGATGAAGAAGAACTTGAAATAGTTGTGGAAGTCAGTCGACCGACTGAAGAACCTTCTTCCGATGACGACTCCGATCCATCAGATTCCAATGAAGATGATGTGAGGCCTGAATCGAAAGAAGTTCAAACCCCTATCGAGATTGACTCCGACTCTTCCTCTGACACTTCCTCCGATTCCTCCGATGACAATGACGATGACATTGAAACCATCCTCTGTCCCAAAGAATCTAATCTCCGTAAGCTTCGAGATCGCACCAACAAGGTGAAGCCGGTCAAATACTCTCATCTGACGACGGACCCTGCCTCATTCAAGAAGGCAATGGCCTCAATCGACAAGTCTAAATGGACCAAAGCGGCAGATGAGGAGCTGAACAACATTGAAGCACACAAGGTATGGGAAGACATGTGGTCTAGACCAGACTCATTATCTTCAAGACCAAACCTGCCACTCTCTCATCGAACGAAAGAAAGAAAGCTCGACTCTGCATTCAAGGTTTTGCTCAACTACCAGAAGACTGCGGTAATACCTTTGCTCCCACCGGAAAATTCACGACATTGCTCATTCTACTCATGTTTGCTGTTGATAAAAATCTCAAACTTCGTCAATTCGATGTAAAAAGCGCCTTCTTGTACGCTCCACTGAAAGAAGAAGTATACATCAAAACTCCGGAGGGATCAAGCAGGAAGGCTCCCTATCTCAAGCTCAACAAATCCTTGTACGGTCTCAAACAAGCACCCGCGAACTGGTACAATACTCTAACGGAATGGTTTGAAATCATCAATTTTCGTCAATCAACCTCGGATCCGTGCCTATACATTCACAACGATCTGAATTCTTACATATTTTTTCACGTGGATGATCTGGTAGTTGTAGGAAATGTGGAAGCGTTTGAAGCCCTGTTCATGAATCGATTTCCTAACTCCACGGCTCATGATCCTGACTCACTACTGGGAATGGAAGTCAATCAACTAGACGGAACGATTCGACTTTCTCAACCAAAACTGATTGAAAAAGGACTTCAACTACTTGAAATTTCCGACTGCAGACCTGTCAAGACTCCACTGTCAGTAGCGGTTCAACTAAAGGAAGCAACGAAGGAAGAAAAAGCCGAATTCGAGAAACTCAACAAGAATTATCGATCCTTCACCGGAATTCTCAACTTTCTAGCCTGTCGAACACAACCAGATCTCGCACCGGCAGTCTCCATCCTATCGAGCTTCAACCATGCACCTGGAATCACTCACTGGAAAGAGGTTATTCATTGCTGGAAGTATCTTGCTGGCACATCTGATCTCAGCTTAAACCTAACTCCCGACTCCTCAGATCACTCTCAATCTCTAGAATTCTACACCGACGCAACCTGGGCCGATGATCTTGAAACTCGACTGTCTCGAAGTGGGACAATCTGTTTTTGGAAATCCTGCCCTGTCTCATGGAGCAGCAAAAAACAGAAGAACATCACTCTCTCATCGACTGAAGCCGAAATGAATGCCTTGTCCGATGGAGCTCAAGAGAACCAATGGATCACCTATCTTGTAGAAGAACTCTGGAAAGACAAGCTGAATCCCACGGAATTTCACGTTGATAATCAAGGACTTGTTGAAAAAATAAAAAACTTTGGATCTAACTCAAAAACCAAACATCTCGACATCAAAGGAAAGTGGCTCAGGGATCTTAAGAAGAATAATCTGATCAATGTCAAACTGATTCCTTCAGAAGAAATGGTCGCTGACGCTCTTACCAAAGCTAGTAATCACCAATCTCTCCAACGACTCAAAGAACGATGTTTCCTGGTTCTTTTCTCACCAAATTGAGGGGGGTGTTGGAATTCTCCGCTCTCAGTTCCTGGTGCTCAAACTCTATCTCTTGATTCAATCTGTTCCTTTTTTTCTCCCCGCTCCGCTCTCTCTCTTCTTTGTCCGCTCCGCTCTCTATCTCCCGCGATCTCCGCTCTTTCTCTCTCCGCTATCTTTCTCTTCCCTCTCTCTTACATCCATCCTTCCCTCTCCTTCTCAAATCTTCCAAGTCTCCATGCAAACAACTCGTCTCATATCAATACCCACCGAACACACCAAAAAGCCTCGCAAGCCTCGCAACCGACTCCTCAAGACCTATCTCAACCACAAGTCAACCCAGTCTCGCATCAATATAAATATGGTCTCTCCTCTCACCGTCTCGGCTCTCCTCTTTCCCCAAGCAGTCTTTGATATCAGTTTCCCGACCGATCTCATCTCTCTCCACTACTAACCAATCCCCTCGCCTTTACTGCTCGGCCTATCCTCGACAACTCTCTCAAAAACCCTCACCATTCCCATCATCTTCGCTCTCCGACTTCGTTTCTTTTCTTCTCTCTTTCTTTTTCTCCTTTCGCTCCTATCCCTTCTCGCTCAATCTTATCGACGACGAACTCATCTCTTCCCAGCATCTATTCATCCACCACTCATCCTCGCTCCGCCGATACTCTCTCTAGAATTCCTCATTTGGCTGTTGCCAATTTGTGTCTACTACATATCGCTGTTTGATCTAATATATTTCAGTCTTTCTGTTCTGTCTACTTCAAAAGACAAATCCTCTCGTGTTCTGGTTCTAGCTTCAATAATAATTCCTGTTTTTCATCACGATTAACAGTCGAAATGTGCTATGCGCATACTATGCATTTACATGAGATTATGCAACATGCATTTATGCAATATGCAACTTTGGGAAATATAAAATCCTACTTCTTTGGAATATGCAAAATGTTATTATACAATATGCAAAATCCGCTTATGTAATATGCATTATCCATGTATAGACTAGCTTAGAAATGGTTGACATTAGGGTCTCCTGTTCTCCCACTGTGGATTAAGGAGGTGTGTTGAAATTCTGTAATCCACAGTGTTCTAATATCAGCACATCAGGCATGGACTTGGTAGCCTAGTTGGTAAAGGCAGCACTTCTAGTATAGTGTCTTAGCTTCAAGCTAAGGTCGCTGGTTCAAATCCTGCCCAAGTCAATCATTTTATGCTAACTGTCTGCAAAATGCATTGTTAATTTTAACAGTTTCAAAGTTCTACAACTCTACGTATTATCTTCTCATATCTTCGCGAGTTCCTGGCGCACACAGTTTCTGTCACGAATACTCTAATGATGCAGGTTGGCTGGCTATTACTGCAAGTAGATGGACTTTAAAGGCGCAGTTTGAAGCCTATAGCCAAGCCAGAGAACTTCAAGAAGTGTTGGAGAAAAGTGTGGGTGTATCCATTGTCAAAAAAAAGAAAAAACCTTTGGATGAACTCAAGGAAAAGCTCAGGGAGGCTTTAAATACTACACTGGGTAAGTTTTTATTTTTTTTGAACATGTTGGAGCCATTTTCTGACACACCATAATTTGACCAATCTGTAGCTTCAGCAAGGGGACTCCCTGTTAAAAGTAAAGAGTGTGTATTTCCAAAAACCAAAGACCCAGCTGCTGGGTTAAAAAAACTCGATAGTCGTTTGGAGATTGTTAGATCTGAGCAATCAACCCTCAGTCTGGAATTATTAAAGCTAGGCTTTGAAGGTTTAAAACTTGAACAAAAGTGCCTGTGGCTAGCAGATATTCAAAGTGGGGCCTTCAAAGTTCAACTTGTAGATAAATAAATGTTTCCCTCTTTTACTTCATCCATAAGCCCTTTTTTTGTAAATTT